CCAACTCCACTGTTTTGGTGGTGTGGTGGTTAAGGGTGGTTTCCCATTTACCCTCCAAGAACCAGGGGTTCAAATCTCAAACCAATCCAAACCACAATCTAAGGGATACCTGAAAAGTCCGCTTCACACGGAATCGACTCGGATCGGGACATCCCTCATCGGATCTCATCGGTTTCCCGTTCGGCCCCTTTTTGTGACAACCTTTGCGCAGAGTTTGAGCTTTTGTTTGACAAATCCTCTACAGTAAACGGGTGCCTTGTTTCTGTAACGGCAACGGAAACAAATGTATTTCGCCCAGTCCAAGCCCCAAGTGTACCGGCTCACCCTTTCCTTTTACACCATCCCGACCGGGGTCTCCATGTTGCCGCAGTCCCCGCGTTTCGGCTCGGTTGTTTCCAGTGGCCAGGTTCTGGGTTGGATTCCTAGCCAGACTTCAGGCTCCCAAAGAAAGCTGTTGATGGCTAAAAGGGAGAATCAAGGAAAACACAGAAAGCCACAAGCTTTCTAACAGGGTTCTCCCTTTTCCCCCGTTAAGACTCATTATTTCCAGGGAAACTCACCTGTTGGCCAGAAAGATGTTGTTCAAAGCCACCAAAATTGGAAATGTAGGGATTGTGTGAGCTCAGTCTGGCACAAAGGACCTGCAAGTCCAACACCTTTTTCGACTTCGCTCCTTCTGCGCATCGAAAATCCGTCAATGTGGCCTATCCCACTGCCTGACAAATCACCTGAAGCAACTCAGCTTGCCCCCCATAGAGAAATCCCATGTTCGGCCTAGAGACATCCCAGGTTAGGCTCCGCATGCCAAAATCTGCGGCAGGCCGTGCCCAAATCTTTCTGGCAATGGGTTGAGGCTCACATCCACGGCTGATTGCCAGCTAAGCCTAGAGACAGCAAATGAACGAAGGCCTTGGGCAGCTGAAGTTGAGAAGTTGTAGGTGATTGGGCCTTTTTCTTTGAGGGTGCCCCTCCCTTTTTTGGTTTTAAAGGAAAACCAAAAGGAACACCACCATTTGGGGGGGTCCCCTAAAACAAAAAACACCCATTTAGATAGGAAACTCATTCCAACTGCCTGCGGGTCAAAAAAAAACAGGTACCCAAAAGGGCACACTTGTAAATGGAACCAAAGACTGAAACCTGCTGTCCCCTGGTTGCTTGGTTTTCACCCATACCCAAATGGCGGTTTCCTTCAAGATTCCCTTATGCCATAAGGCTCCTTGTTCAATTGGGCATTCTGTCGTTGAACATGGCAGGGTAAGTCATGCTAGAAGGCAAACGCATGGCTCTAACAACAAAACAGTCGGGGGGAGAAGATGACTGGTTCACTTGCCCAATGACCTAGACATCAAGGGTTAGCCTTGTGGCGCCACGAGTTTAGTGAAAGCGAGGCAAACCAGAAAACCAAACCAAAGGGTCAAAAGGGTAGTGTTCAGCACCACCGCAAGGTGCTGTTCATATATTGGGCAACACTTTTTTTGAAAAAACAACTCTCTTTGGGGTCCAAAGAAAAGGAGAGGCTACGAAAGGCGTCTGGAATCCTTTTGACCTACTGTGGATGGACAAATCCATTTCGCACACCTAAGAACTCAGAACCCTTGGGATGATGGTTCCCCTGTAAATACCAAACAAACAGTGGATCTTCATGGTTTCAAAGTGGTGCAGGATTTTGTCCATCCACAGTACAACTCTTTGCAATGTTCTAGCATTCCGTGCCACACCAAAAGAAACGTTTGAATGTGTTAAGTGCATGTGGCCCATCAGAAGTGACCGGACGAGGCGACTGATGAGGCTGAAAACAAGCCCACTTCTCAGTGCTATTTATGAACTATTGCTTGCAAGAATGAACAAAGGCAAAAGGCCGTGTTGAAGATTGTGCTCCTCTCCACATTTCCCCCTGTCAGCTAGCATAAGTGTGTGGGATATACTTCATACCTCTCTGGTGCCATTACATCGCTACAGGAAAACTGCACATTGCTCTCGGTGGCTTTACACAATAAGACGTGAGAGTCGGGTGTCACCGGTGTCACCAAGTTCAAGTTGGTTGTCCCTGATGCGCAGCCCTCAAAAGGCAGCCAGCAGAAGGAACCAAACCTTGCCAAAGAAGCCAAGGACTGGCTCTGCTATTTCGACAGGTTGGCCACAGGTGCCTTACGACCTGGTCTTGCTCGGGAGGTTAGCTTGGTCCCTGTCTGATGGTTTTGCTGCCGTCGTGCAGGTATTCATGCGAGCTTCTGGCCAGAGCGACGGGAGGTCGCAGAAAACGCGAACGGCATGCAGCCAACACTGCGTGGCGATTGCCCCTTGCACAGGAATACGGGTTGGTGGCAAAGATTACAAACGAAAAGCAGTTTGCAGTGAACGGAATGATGTGGCAAAAGAAAAGGGGCAAGGTCAAAACCCCCTTATCAGCTATTGTCGTCGTTCCCTGATAGAAGTGTGTACACATGTTTTCTAAATTTCTCAAGGGTGCCGAAAGCTGCACAAAACTCAAGCAAGGTGCCTGTACCATTTCACATATGGTGCGCTGGCTTCCAGCACGCCGAATTTGAATTCCATCCTTTGGAACACGTCACCAACCTGCCCAGTGGACATTCACAAGGGCCAGCGTTCTCTGTTGTGTTTCGGTGCTTGATTTTAAGAGGAGAACCATCACCTGAAGAAGGATGAAAGAAAGGAGAGGGGCGCCCTTTTGCAAATCAGTCATACTCCGCTGCACACTGTTGGTCCCGACATCACTCGGCCTGATTTACCCCGAAATACTGGCTTGGCATAGCCGGAGTCAATATCCTTTGCATCCGCCACCTGACACGAGCGACTTTCTGTGTGTAACAATCACCAGCAACATAATGGACACCGGAAATGGGTGGGGGTCAAATTAAGCCACCAGGGGACCGCAGGTTTTAGTCTTTGGTTCCATTTACCAGGGTTTTCATTTTAGGTACTTATTTTTGACCCACAGCCAAATTGAGGTGCAACCCGACGACAACTCATTGCATCAGTACAAGCCGCACATCCCTCAATCGCGAACAACACCCGCGATCTCTGAGAAACCTTCAAGAACCCTCCCAGAACCTTCACCTCAGGAACTTCTAGAAACCCCACCCAGGATCCCGACTCAAGCCTGCTTGGGTGAACCATACTAATTCACCAGCCTAAAATACAAAATGGATCAAGAAAGACCTCAATGGAACTCGTTAAACCCCCTCGTCTGGTCGGGATCAGATTTCCGATTGGCTGCCTGTCTTCGCCGTCCAACACGGCGAACTCGCAAAAAACGCCACGGGGTCAATCGGCTGCAGCCATGGGCCAGAAGTCACAAGTAGAACCTCACTACGAATCCGCCGAATTTCAGCCAAAGCAAGCAGGGAAGGGCGGGGCCCTAGGGGAAGGCGGGTTCAAGGCTTGAGTGCCCGAAAATGGTCGCTGCCTGCTGACCACGATCTTGCCAACCAGAAAGCTGTCCAGGAATTCTGGAAGTATTGAAAACGTGAGCACCAAGCTCAACGGCTAGCAAATGCTGGAAAAATATGGAACCATCACAGACTTTTGTGAAACAATGAAGAAAACAACAGTTCCTGCTTGCAAGATCATCAGTTTCCCAAAAACTCATCTGCAAACCTGCCCGGAAAAGCGGAAAGCGGTGGGCAATCAGTGTGCCCAGATTCTCTAAAGTGCACTCTGGGAAGAGGTCTGTGGCAGTACCTTTCTCTGTCTTGGTGGGGATTTCTGTAAATTGCAGTCTTTTCTAATGTGTGTTGACGATATGTATTTGGCAAGGAAATCCAACTAAATTCTAAACACATGGTAGTAGGACTCGATTAAGTGTGTTCATTTGGGTCCCATTTAATTTCTAGACAAGTTCTACGTCTTTTTAGAGCAGCCTTTGTCAAGATGTGAATTTAGTACGAAAGCTGCTACAAAGCACTTTGGTCTACGACGATGTTCTCTGACCTTGGTAGTGCTTGGGGCTAGTTAAAACGCGATTGGTGGAACTCAATTTCTATAACTGAAGTTAAGTAGAAATTAATATAAGGACATTGGCCAACCATGATTCTATTTAAAATTAGGATATTCATCAGAACGATTCTATTTCATATAAATTCCTACACCGGAGTTCCTTTCCAATATAATTTGCTTCAAGAAACAGTTGACGTGTCAACACAATGAACAAGCACGCTAACATCAGAAGCCATTTCGAGCCCAACGTCTATCGACCGAAAGGTCGCTTTCCGTCATTCCACAACAACTCCAATACCCGAAGTAAGGGATCCTCAAGTAAAGGATCAGCAGCATGAGGTGCTATGGACTGCAACCTTATCAGGTTGCAAGTGGGTCCTCCCTGACTGCGTCGACTCTGGAAAATCCATCGGCCCCAACAGCTCGGAGCCGGCAAACAAGTTTGCGCCATGTTGCCATCTCTCCCCAAATGAACAGCTGAAGCCAGAAAAGGGGGTTTCTTTAACCGGAGGGTTTGGGTTCCATGTCAGCCAGAGTATCAACCATCTCAGGCCAGAAGTGGAAGGGAGAAAAGGAAACAACAACGGTGGCTGATTTTGGTTTCCACCAGCAACACTTTATCACTCGAAGCCTTTCGTCTTTCGTCTCGCGCGAAAGCTGCGGGGCCGGGGGTCTTGAACATAGGGGCCCTGTTTGAGACTCAGGTCCATGCCGCTATTTCACAGGGCCCATGTGAGGAACATCTGGCTGGATTTTTCGGCCCCTAGCTCTGATTCACCAAGCCGGCTCCGTGCGAAGATGGTGGTCGCGATGCCACGCACAAGGATCCAGCGCAAGGCAATAATACACTGCCGGGCGGCCCTCAAATGATAAGTGCTCATTGCTGGGCCCACCATGTTCAGAGTCTGGAGACCCCAGTCTAGGCGGACACATCCAAATGGGTGGTCTACCCTGTACCGAAACAAAATGAGGACCATCCAAAACCGGGAGCACGCCCAAGTAGCGCCGGGAGTGGCCGCCGTGCGCTGGGCCCGGGTTAACTTCTACAGCAGCCGATGCCGCGTCTGCAGGTACATCTCCCAGCGGTGCTCAGCCAATCGCCGCCACTTGGGAGTGTCCTGTCGCATTCCCGGCACAATGGCACGAAGCAACTCACGTGAGTCACGATCAAAACCCGGTATTTAAATGGTCTACCCAAAACCATGTAAAGAATTAAGAAGGCGGCCGCAACTATTTCTGGCTGGGACTGCCCCTTACTAACCTTCATCTACCCGGGGCTTGATTGTGGCTCATGTCGACCCCGCAAAAATGCATCCGGTGGATTGACAGCGGCGTTGTCTGTAAGCGAAAAAAACAACAACAACACATTAAACTCATTGGGAGTCCCCAGTGCATCATGTCTAGGATTACAAAGCCAGGGTTCCCGTTAGTGCAGCTACAGCAACCACCACCCCATTATCACACCAGCACCAGCACCAGAACCAGCACCAGAACCAGCATCAGAACCAGCATCAGAACCAGCACCAGAACCAGCACAAACACCACCACCACAAACACCGCCGCGCTACCACAAACACCACCAATGGAAACACTGCTGTCCCACTGTCGTGGCTTGTTGCGCATGTGGGTATGTGCAACAAAGCCTAGTTCTCTGTTCGATTCCCCTTGAGCCAAGGTGAAAGGGCACCCTCGAAACAAACACACACCGTGGCTGCAGTCGTGCCTTCAACGGTATGAAAGGAGCAAACGTTTTCGCCCAAAAAAGCATCGCTCGGCCAAGCTACAGATTCCAAGCCCTCGCAGCCATGACGACACAACTTGCTGGTGCCACTGCATGCAGTGCTGAAAGAATTCATTTTGGGTTAAATGGATGGAAACTACCATTAAACACTAAAAGGCTAAAAGGCTAAGGGGATGGCTGGGGAGCCACCAAGCATCCCAAAACCACCTGATTGAGCGGGTAAAGGTTCTATTTCTGTTGAATTGGCCCACATGCAATCCTTCCTTGTACTACAGAGCCTAGGGCCAGAGTTCGAATGGGGTATCTGATGCAGTATTTCTGCCAACAGAACGTATTGGTTGGTCAAAACCCATAGCTGCTCAGGTTGAATGCGGCTTTCTGAAAAGAATTTTAACTGGGATCATGGTTCTTCCATTGATTTAGAATTGGGCTCTGGGATTTGCAGCTTTCAGGGATCTTGGGCTTGCGGTTTTCTTGTTTGGGGAAGGCTGGCGGGGTCCTCAGGCTTGTACTGCGGCAAGGCCAGAAAGAACACAAAGGCCTCGAGCCTCGCAAGCTGAGCGTAAGAATACGACTCAACGCTGAGTTGGGGGCACGCTAGTTAAGGTGTAAAAACACACACACACTTAGAATTGCCAGCGAAATAGGGCAGCCTCCGAGATGGATGGTGTCTCCTTGGTTTCCGTTTTGAACAACCCCGTCTGGGTTTGGGGGGTATCGAAAGAGACACCTAGGGCTCGATCAGGGCTCATGGGGTGACAAAGCCTTGATCTTGTACACATGACAAGGCTGAATACCGCGGTCAGCAACATGCCACACACCACGGAACACATCGCATGGCTGCCTGAGTGCGACTAAAGTGCGCCTCGATCAAACCTCCTGGTGGCCTTGAGAAGCAGATGGCGCTGTTAAATGAGTCGAACCAAACTGAAGCCAGCGCCATCCATGTTCAACCCCGTCAGGGTGAGGTTCGGGAACTTCCATGATGACCGCTGGGAATTCCCACGGGACGGGAGGGATGACCACAGTGGGTCTTCCACCTTGGGCAAAAATCTAGCGCTTGAGGGTATGGTTGAGGCTATGAAAGTTCGACAGTTTTCGATGAACCAAAAAAGATTTAACCATCAAGGTCTCTGAACTACAGCCCACAGTTTATTTAACCCATATTGCAGGTCACTTTCAGCACCAACTGCAGGCGTCCTCCAATCAAGTGTTTGTCAAACAAATGAATAGTTGCCCTGTTGCCCCATTGAAGAAATAACAGACCCCCCTTTTCCCCCCAAGGTCTAGGCACCTTGCTTGGACTCCATGCTTGGAAAACACAACAGACACCTCTCATGTTCCACACATCATGTTTACATAAAGTAGAAAACACAAGTCAACAGAAAAACCATCGCGCTTATGGTGTCCTTTAAGGGGACCCCCAAACGGTTCATGCCCAACACCCGAAAACTTGGTCATTTCCTATGCCACCAGCGAGCTGATTTGGTGACCTTTCCTTCACCTCCCCCCAAACAAGGAGAGAAAGGCGCCCCCCTCGTAGTTAGGTTCGCTCGAGTGACCCTCCCTTCTCCTCTCCCCCCCCCCCAAAACAAGAAAATCCAGCGCCGCCGAAACAAAATCCGTTGATCGGGTGACCTTCCTTCACCTCCCCCCCAAAAAAAAGAAATCAAACATCCGGCGCCACATCCACCCAGACCGCCGCCGAAAAAGAGAACCATCCCTTGTGGTGTCCATTAAAAGGGCGCCCCCAAACGGTTCCTTCCCAACACCCGGATCTTGTTCGGCCGAGGGGAAGGCCAGGTCAGAGGCTCGAAGGCCAAGGTCTCCTTCTTCATGCTCGCCAGGTCACAGGGCTCCTCGGAATCGGATCCAATCGGATCCATGGCTCGGATGGGATTCGGGTTGGAGCAAAACGGGGGGTTCGGATGTCGACCGACTCGGTGGATCCAGATCGGTAGTCAACTGAGGTAATCAGTGGATCGATCCTCTGTGGATCCTCTGTAACTCTGCGGCATTATTTTCCTCTACAAAAGGGGGACATCCCAACTGCTTGCTAGAGGGATCCATTGGGATGAAAACAAACGGCAAGAGCCGATCTGTAGGCTCGTGGGCTTATAGGTGTAGTTTTTACTTGTACATGCTTGAGGCTCGTTCTTGCGTTCAGGGACAGTCTGAGGGTGGTTTTTATGACCAACACTTGGAACTAAGGAGCCTGGTGACCGATCTTCAACCCCTTTAGGTGAGGGTTTGATTCCAAACTCATCACTATCAGCATGCACTTCATGCTCTTCATTGGGCACCGAATCAACACCTAGCTGCAATGTTCTTTTGCTACAAGCAATTTCAAGCTCTGGCTCCTAGTTACCATGTCTTCGGGTGGACATGGCAAACGAGTCCTTCGCATGATTGACTAGCTGCAACCAATTCAGCCTTGAGATGTCTATGTTTCCTGCTGGCGCTTGATTAGCAGGGAATGAGAAATGGAATGGCCCTTATAAACCATCCAACTGGTGGTTTCCTTTAGTTAAGGGGACCCATGACATGGGTTCATTCCCACCTTGCCTGCCTATCGAAAACCAGCAAGGCTTCTCGGTCAATCCACCACACCTCACGAATTCATGGAATTGCCGTGCGCTCAAAACCACCCCCTTTCCAATCATCAGCCCGTCTGCCAGGACCTGCCCAGAAGGTCCCTTGGTACCTAACCAAAAAAATGAACGACCCCTTTTTACCCCCAAAAGCCATCCGCGGGAGGTACCAAGGGACCCTCTGGGCTGGAGAAAGCAAACTGTGGATGGACGAAATCCATTTCGCACCGCTTGGACACGATGGTTGAATCCAGAGTTTATTGGCATTTACCAGGGAATTATCATTCCAGGGATTCTTCGGGGGTGCTGGATTTTGTCCATCCACGGTATTTCCAGTTAGATTCCCTAAGCAATAAAAACCATGTCCTCAAGCAAATGGATGTATTGGACTTGTGTTGCTTAGGCTCATTTCACCGGAATTCAAATGTACCTCCCACAAATCCGCCGGCGCTGCCGGCGTGTCTTGTGGATGTTCTTGTATGTGTAGTCTTGTTTGTGTTTTAGTGCTGTGTTGTAGATTGTTCCTTGGCGCGGACTTTTGCCTCGTCTAAACTGACTTCACCCCCCCCCCCTGTCCCCCGTAGTCTTCCTTTCTCTTCCGTAGTCTTCCGTAATCTTCCGTAGTCTTCCGGTTTCTTCCCGTAATCTTCCGTAGTCTTCCGGCTTCTTCCCGTAGTCTTCCGAGTCTTCCGGCTTCTTCCCATAATCTTCCGTAGTCTTTCGGCTTCTTCCCGTAGTCTTCCATAATCTTCCTGCTTCTTCTCCTAATCTTCCGATAATGTTTCGGGACCAAACAACGCGCGTCAGGACTCAATCGCGTGTCCTGTGCTTTCGGGCTTCTTCCCTTAGGCTTCGGGTCGTCTTCCCCCACCCCTCCGCCCCCCCCCCCCTGTGACTGTCTATGTCTGTCTACGTATCTGCGTCTGTCTTCGTGTCTGCGAAGACCCCCCCCTGCCGCTGCGTGTCTGTCTGTGTCTCTTTGTGTCTGTCTGGGTCTGTCGGTCTTCGTGTCCGCGAAGACCCCCTGCGTGTCTGTCTCTACAAGCACAAGCGCAAGCAAGTAAGCGAGATCACGCGTGCTTGCTGCGCTTGCGCTTCGATTGTCTTAAGCTTAAGCACAAGCGCACGTAAGTAAGTGAGATCGCGCGTGTTTGCTTCTGCTGCGCTTGCGCTTCGCTTGTCTACGCTTCAGCGGGGCGCGGGTGGGGGGAGGGGGGGGGTTCGAGCGTGGCTAAAGCTACACTTTGGTACGGTCATCTGTCTAAGGAACTTCTAAGGCTGGCTCTAAAGATGAGCCTGCGTGACTGTGCAACTGATGCTTCCAGGCTAGCAAAATTTGACAGCCTGAAGCCGCGGGGGCTGGCGGAACACGCCAACGGCGGTTAAACACGTGAAGACCACTTTCTTCGGCGCACCTTGGCATGGCTCACATAAATGTACGAAAATTGCACCTTGGTAAATGGAACCAAAGACCAACTCCTGCGTAACCCGAGTTCTTTAATTTTGAGCCGCACCCATACGTTGCATATCAAACACCAACACAAGGTCCACTTTTCCCTTGAGCTTGGTTCTTGAGCGTAAGGGGCTGAACGTACCTTACAAGGTACTTGGACCCGGGAACATGATTTATGGCTTATTGTAGCCCGCTGACAAGGGCGCCAAGTCTGAACTTTCTTGAAAAGCAGCCTTAGGATTGAGATACGCTGTCTTCAGAGTTGAACTGAGGCATCCATGTTAAGGATAGAGCAACGGTCCACATCTCGCAGTCGCGCCCACGCGTTGCCGAGGCTGCGCACCCCAACCCCGGCGATCCGAATGGCCGCGGAGAAAAAACTCCCTGGCGCGCCTCCCCGCAAGCGGCGTAGCTCTGCAAAAAATGGTCCATGTCCGGCTGGGAGAAGCCCTCGGCCCTTCTGAACCTCACGCGTCAGGATAATCGGCACCCGGTGTTGTTGGTTGAGCTAGGGAAGCCCTTCCCAGGGAAGGGAAAGCAAAGAAAACCACTGGGCAACTGGGACATAATTGCTGCACTGCGCCCGTGGATCTTTTAAGAAGATGACCGCTAAAGACAGGGTTTCTCTCACCCCCATGAACTGTTTCATGGTCAAACACCGACTTCTGCAAATGGGTGAACAAAATGGAGGATCCAGCATACGTCATGTCTCACAGTTCGGATGCCGTAAATTGGATCAGCTAAGCACCCATATCAGCTTGCAGTCTGATCGGCAAGCCAACGGTGGGGAGTCCTGGGTCCTGTCGCAAGTTGAGTTCACGACCTGCAGTAAGACTCTGATCCCAGTGACTGGCACCGCTGCTAGTAAAAATATCCAAACTCATGGTCGAGGGGTGTTGAATGGGTGTGGAAACTAGTACCTCGTCCATCCCCTTCAATAGGAACTGAACCAATGTTCATTGAGCTAGCAATAGTATGATATATATATATATATATCTATACACACAATATATCTATATAACGCTGACTCCCACCATGGCATCATGTCCGAGGCCAACCGCTGAAGTTGCAAGAAACACCCTCAAAGGTTTCCTCCCGCCGTCAGATCTTTCCACTTTCCAGGGGAACGTGCATTGAGTCGGACCTGCACATAGGTGTCCTTTTAGGGGAAATAGATGGCCCTGGTGGATGATTAAACCAGCAGGGGTTTAATCATCCACGAGGTAAACCAGGAATCGCCATCTATTTTTTTCTACCAAGCAAAAAGGACACCTATGGACCCGCATGTTCCTGCTTCGGTCATTTTTGGGGCAGGGGGGGGGGCAAGGATGGCTCCTCCCGCTGCCAGCTGGTCAAACACCTTTGCACACGAAGGCGTCCCGATTCTCAGCGACGCGCCAAACAAAAGGTCTGAAGTCTGAAACGCAGGGAAATATCACCACTTGCTTGCCCGGCCCAGCGGGCAAATGCAAGAAAGGACACACCCTTCTTTTGCTGGTTGACTTTGGAGAGACACCCCAAAAGAAAAATGAAGGCCCACTGCTGCACTCTTTGCGAGCGGCATCGCAGATCAGAGGCGGGAATATGCTTATGGGTGCTTCGCCTTACAAGTGAAACAACGAAGCTCCCGCTCCCGTGGCCATTGGACAAAAGCCACCCCTTCCCGTTTCTACCCTACTCTTCACAACACGCGTTTTGGAGGAGACCCCACTTTTGATATGTTGCCTTGTGCTTCTCCTTCAAACAAGTGAATCCATCCCGCTCCGGCCATACAAAAGCCGGCCCTAGGCTTGGGCTGCTGCAGCTTCATCCAATCGAAGCCACGGTAGTTGGGCCCTGGCGTACATTCGGCCGAGGCGTAATTAGAGACCCTCGGCTTGCGCCACGACACGTTTTTTCTAACGGTTGGCGTTGGGTTTGGGGAGCAAACATTTGTCAAATTTCAGCAGTTATAAGTGGTTGGAGTTCAGCCACTAAACCACAAGAAACAAAAATGCATTTAATGTGTCCCAACAACAACGACACGTTTTGGGCTCTGGACCTTGAACCCTTGCCTTTAGACGCCTCGTTTTGGCTCGTGTGCTTTGAACATGAGCGTTTTGGACCACAGGATGTGGCAAAGAGGCGACCTTCATAGCAAACGAGCCAAATACTGTACAGAAAGCTGGCGTCTTGACGACATTTTTCCCGCCGGTCGGAATGTAGTTTATAAGTTGGCTAGTTAGGGGCTTCTCAAAATAGTGGTCCCCTAAAAGTCCTTCTCCTGAAATACCAACCAAATAGGGGTCTTGAGACAAGCTGCCGGTCAAAGGGCCGGCGCCCAGGGTTCAAGTTGTCCCCTCTACGTATCGTCAAAGGAAACTTGCAGCTTGTTTCATGCTAGGCCCGAACAACGCAATGGACGAAGCAAAGAAACAACACCTAAAACAAACTTGCCCGGGCGAGAACACAACCAACAAAACTCTTGAGGGCACTGACATACGAACACAAACGCACAAACACAATCACACGCTCAACACACACACATACAATGATTCTCTCCTCTGCCGGGAACCATGCTGCAGGTGGGAGACCCGACTCGCCGACACCCGCCTCCCAGCTCGAAGTCGATGAGCCATACGCCGCCTGTGCCGACAGTTCCGTCGGAGAGTCTGAAGCGCACCTGCTCCTCGTCATCGTCATGGCCATGACGGTAAGAATGTTCATCATCATCATCATCGTCGTCAACAACATCATCATCATGATCCTCATCATCACA